TGAACCAAGATTTTTTGGTAGCTCAGTATATCAATACCCATTTAAAAGCATCACCAGTGTTAGGAGCAAGACAAAATAACCATAGATTTAATAAATACTGATTCCTGGTGTGTCTCAGAAAAGTACTTCTATTATGCAGTGAAGTCATTCAGTTGTTTGTAGTATTGCTTGAGACAAACTTTTTACTGAAGACTAATTCTATGGTAGAACAACACTAAACTATTTCTTCTCAAGGATAACTATTCACTATCTACCCAAAGCTATCGTGTGGTCTTCCATTTTCCAACTTGCCATTGAGATTTGAAAATCTAGACTATTACAATCAAAGAAATGTGCATCAAGTAACACTATATCTAAAAAACCCAAAACAAAACAAAAAATTATAACCTGTGACAATTCTATCCACTTTAAAAGTTCATGGCATTCTATTCCACATAAATTCATTTACAATATAAAGATTAAAAACAGTCAGGTACAAAGAGATCCTTCCACAGAGCTCTGGTTGCATATCATTTCCCTTCATCCTATCTTTTGTGAATAACTACTGGTTTGCTGAAAGTTTACATGTAAAATTGAAAAAGGAACCTAATCAGTGAGTTCTTCCGCTTTTAACAATGAGTCGAAAGTTTAAAGGAAATAATGTACATTCAACTTATTTCTTATCTCTCTTGGCTGTAGTCAGTACTGCACTCATGAAAAGAAACGACAATATGGATCTCCCTATGCAAATGAATAAATTTAATGAATTTTTCATTAAATACAACTATATAATTAAAATATAATTGGGATTGTATGTGCATTTAAGTCCCTCAAAAATATAGAGGACATCTGATAGTGTTAGCTGAAAAAGAAACAGAACAGTGCTCCTATTTTTTTTTCTTACTTACAAAAAAAAGCCTCTATCTGCTTTCTCTCCTCCACTACTTGAGTGATCTCAGGGAAACTCATCATCACGCACTTTGTTATTTTGCATTAGTCTAGTTAAAACTAAAACAAAAGCTAGTGTAGTTGATGAAGTTTGGATCAGGTCCTAATGCAATAAATGAAAACCTCACGTTACTTCTCTACTCTTTCATTGTCTTGATAAAAAAACTCCACTCCTTATAACTAAATTTTTGCCAAAGTGACATAAATCCTGTCAGGTCTTCAAACTCTGTGGTACATAGCAGGGCTTCTACAGCCCTGCAAAACATGCAGAATCCCCTCACCGTGACCGAAGCAGCTGCATTAGGGCGGGAGTGCTGGCAATGCAATGTCACATCTTCAGCAAGCACAGAAACAGGGAGCTAAAGCCAACTGGAGAGAGAACGCAGCTTTGTCATCCAGGTTTTAAAACACTGTTTACATATGAAGCGATACAGTCGAACTACACATCCAGTCTTCTTTTGTGCAAGGGTGTTCGTGTTGTCAGGAAAGGTTCATGTGATCAAGTAGTTTAGTCTCGTTATTTTAATTAGGCATCAAAAAGCTGCTGTCTAAATTTTAAGATGATGAATTAGTTTATAAACAACTATGTAGGTCATCTGAAATGGATTTCTTTTTAAGTAGGGGTTCTTTAAAGCTGGATTTATTATATTTATGTGAATTTGCTAAATCTGAGGTTCTGTCAAGATTTTGCATTAGGTGTAACCTAATTTTTTAATGAAACTTATAAATCTCTTAAAGAAAGAGTTTACACAGTAAATGCTTAGATACTTTTGACTGTATTGTAGTCCAAAAGGTGAGATCAAAACAGTTAAATACAGATAATTTTATATTTTAGACTCCCAGTTATTCAGTCCAGAAAAAATTTCATTTCCTTCATCTCCTACTGGTCAGTGTCAGAAACTGTACAGGACAGATTGTGAATATTGACTGGTCTTTTTGTAGGCATCACACCTTGCAACTGACAGCAGGCTTTTTCACATGCTGGAGGAAGTGCCTGATAAAAGAAGTCTTCTGAAGGAAAAATGTATTTTTACCATGTGTTCCACCTCTGCTCCATCTTGCAAAATCACTAGTTCAAAAAAACAGAACCTTGAACCTGCATCGACAAATCTCACGACTGCAATTAAGAGATTCATTAGTAGCACAGGAGTCGCAGGGCAGGGCTTCAAAATGACCTACAACAAAAGGGAGTGACACATGTTCTATGCCATGCAAACACTTTCATTTTGAGAAACACAGATGGTTTGGGTTGGAAGAGACCTCAAAGATCATCTAGTTCCAACCCCCCTGCTGCGGGCAGGGACACCCTCCACTAGACCACGTTGCCCAAAGCCCCATCCAACCTGGCCTTGAACACTGCCAGGGATGGGGCCTCCACAACCTCTCTGGGCAACCTGTTCCAGTGCCTCACCACCCTCACAGTAAAGAATTTCTTCCTAACATCTAATCTAAATCTGCCTGCTTTCATCTTAAAGCCATTGCTTATTCTGTCATTACATGTCCTTGTAAAACAGTCCCTCTCCCACTTTCTCATAGGCCCCCTTTAGGTACTGGAAGGCCACAATTAAATCTCCCTGGAGCCTTCTCTTCTCCAGGCTGAACAACCC